AAAACAGGATAAAAAAAAAAGTGACACCCGACCGATCTCTACTCGATAAAAATATTGTCTTCTTTTTTTTCTTTTTTTTATATATAACCAATATTCTATTTTCTCTCGTTATTTTTGTTGTTGGTCTAACAGCAAACTCAAATTTTTTTTTTCAAAAAGTTATCCAAATATATATATATATCTTTCTTTATTTTTCTAATCGTAGCACGATATTTCACGCGTTGGAATAGAAATAAAAGTGCAACAAAAAAAAAAAAAGCAGAAAAAACAGAAAGAAAGAAAGAAAGGTGCATGAGTTACGAAACACCGCGAGATATACCGTTGAATTTTCGTGTTTTTTGCGAACGGGTGGTTCTTTCTGTTTCCTATTTTTCTTTTTTTGTTTTTCTTCTTCCTCATCTTCTTATTCTTCTAATTTTAATGTAGGCACGAGCGAAATATTTAAACGCGGATAAGCATTCATAACGCGTACGAGACGAAAAGAAGACTTAAAACGCACAATTTTACCGACACCACCTATATTTACTATCTCTCTCTCTCTCTGTCTTTCTCTCTTTTTTTTATTTTTTTTTATATTTCTTTTTGTTTCTTCTTCTTCTTCGACTTCATATAAACCGGGCAGAAGCAACCGTGCCGTAACGTGGAGGCATTAGTTTTAAAGACTCTTTGAAGAGAAATTTTTATCTTTTTCTACCCCTGGTGTTGCTGTTAGCTGCTGCTGCTGCTGCTGCTGCTATTACTATTGCTGCTTGTTTTAAACATCCATTTGCGATTTAAAGCCTTGTAAACGGCCGACATTTTCTGTGGGGGAGGAAATGGGGGGAATGGGGGAAGAACGGGGGGGGTGGGACGGCGGTTTGCATCAATGAGCTGCGAAATAGAGGAGGGGGTTTGAAATATAACACAAACTCAAATCAGTTTTTATTAATTCACCTATCTTTTAATATTACGAATATTATTCTTAATCGGAGAAATTATTTCTTTTTTTTTCTTCCCCGCGACACATAATATTTTTAAATCCCATTTAAATTATAATATTGCCACGTAAAAATATTTTCATTAGATTCTTCAAAATATAAATTGAATCGTTTAATAATTAATTACATTGTCAATCAATTTATATACGACTTGTTTTGTCAGATTAATTTATACGAATCTATATAAAGTTCAGAGAGAGAGAGAGAGAGAGAGAGAGTTTATTAACGTAATATTGATTTATTTAATAATTATTGAACAAACATTAACAGAATAATAAGTAAATTCAAGTGTCGACTAATGTCATTTATTGATATTTATGTGCATTAATGAACAAACTCATATATAGTGTTTCTCATTAGTCATAATATAATTTAATAGAGATCGAGAAATGTCTAATCTCGTAAATGACTTCTATTGGATTTTTAACGATAATTGCCGGTATGAAACGGATATATATTTTTTTTTCTTTAATTAAGATCATCGTCGAGAAAGAGTATAATAGAAATTGGATAGATCGATAATACTATTATTCGTACTTATAGCATTGGCCCGAATTAAAAAAGAAAAAAAAGAAAAGAAAAAAAAAAGAAGAAGAAAAAAAAGGAAAAAAGAGATATGTGTGTCAGCATCGCGTACGTTTGTTTTATCTTTTACTTTTTTTTGTCTCTCTCTCTCTCTCTCTCTCTCGCTCTAACTTTTTTTCTTTTTTACTCTCTGATCCGCATCAAGTGAGAGGGCAAACGCATACACCTGTAGAAATCTTTCTTGCGGGCACATTGATGAGAATAGGCGAGTGCACGAGAGCATGGAAAGAGTGCATCGCACACGCGGTGCAACGCGCTGCATTTTTCTCTTGTCTTCCACATCTCTCTCTCTCTCTCTCTCTCTTTCTCTTTCTCTATTTCGTTGACATATGTTTGATGATGATGCTCGCACATATGTATATCCGAGAAACATCGATAACCCGCTGACTTTGTTCCTCGTCTGCGACTCGTTTGAATTTGTCGCCAACCGCAACTCCTTTGACTGCAAGAACATTGCTCTGTTTTTCGTCGTTTCCTATATACCTTCAGTTTCCTTTATGTAATGTGTACCTTTTTCTGTTAAATATTTGTATCAAATATTTGCGATTACATATTTACACAGAAACATATATATATATATACATATTTATTATATTTTTATAGACACAAATTTATGTATGTAAAATATTCGTAAATGTATATATACGTTTGTATGTTATTTTAACGCCATTTCACAAGAGGGAGAGATAGAGAGAGAGCAAAAGGTAGAATACGACAACAGATACATGCGCAAACGTATCATCACCCGTTTTCTACCATCATCTTTCTTTTTTTCCCTCTTTTAATATTTTATCATACAGAGGGTTGTGGTACTGATAAATGTGATAAAAGTCAGGTCGCCGTGTTTAAATGTCCGGATATGAAAATTTAAACGATGATAAATATAATGACAAGAAAAGTTGAGCCTGTCTCTTCTAAAGGTTTACCTTCAATTAACGGGAACTTTGTATAGGTATCTTTAAAAAGCAGCAGCAACAGCAGGAACAGCAACAGCAACAGCAACAGCAACAGCAGCAGCAGCAGCAGTAACACCACAGCTACAGTTACATATAACGCCTAATTGTTTTTAATCGTTTATTTATTTCCTCTCTCTTTCTCTCTCTCTCTTTCTTTCTAGTTTTTTTTTTTTTTTAATTAGCAAAGCTATACGAAATGTCACGGCATTATTTTCTATATAATGTCAATTATAAAATAGATTATATTATCATTTACGAAGCATGTGTAATCGAATTGAGTTTACTTTCAACGTTGATCGAAGTATAATAAAATGAAACCCTCTTCTTATTCGAGGTATACTTAATGCGCATACTCCTCCTCTGACATATATATATATAAATATACACACATGCATACGCACATTTACATGTATCGTACAAATAGAATAAACGATAGTGGCGCGTGTTCGTGAACGAATATAGGAAAAAATCTAACATTTAAATACCAAAAAAATATAAACACAAAACTCTCTCTCTCTCTCTCTCTAATCGGTTATAGGGGAAAAAAACGATTACTTGCAAAATCAATCGCAACACTTTCGTATTATTTTCCAATTAATCAAACCAAATGCTTATATATTTTCTCTCTTGGTCGATCAATAAAGCAAACCAATGACGACGACGACGACGACGACGTACGACGACTATGACGACTATGACGACTACGACTTGTCGTCGGCAATTCGAATGCGATTCTCGCGCTTTTTCCCGGACCACTCGCGTTGGGTTATATCCTACAGTGGCATCGATTAAAATTTTGTCGCAAAGCACAAACATCCGTCCATATGTATATATATATACACACATATACATATATATATAGAAATTTACGTACATATGCATGAGTATATATACACACATATGTATATAGATAGATATATACATATATATGTGTGTACATAGCGTAGCTATTCTAAATGGGACGATGCGCGCGCTATATCGGATCTCGTAAGGAAGGAAGGAACACACACAATATAATATCCAACTGATATTCCCGAATTTCTGGACTCACGATAGGGATAGTATATCGAATTTAATAGTGAAATGATGCACGAAAGATGATGCTACTACTATATATCCTCTTAAGTATATCCTATACAATTGTAAGGAAGAATCATCATGCCGCATATTCCAAGTCCCCGCAGTGGTAGCGCACCTATCCTACCCTCCCTTCTCTTCCTGTCGTTCCTAGTCGAACACTTTCGAAACACGCTTTCTATCCACCCCCCACCCCCTCCTCCCCACTTCTTTCTCTAGAACAGGAACAGGAATAGAGTGAGATAGAGATATTACGATTGCGTGTTAGAGGGAAATAGAGAGAGAGAGAGAGAAAGAGAAGGGGTTGGTTTTTCCTACTCCCACCAGAATAATCCCTACTACTACCGTGGGGCTCCTGTTCCACCTCTTTCTTCCCCTCAACACCACCTCGCTAACCCACCAGAAGGAGCGAGGTATTGATTCCCCTCGCGGTAGCAGCTTCTCTACCCTGTTCTCCGGTGGTAGTCCGAAGCTGAGCACGTTCGCGGCCGCTGCAGACTCGCTCGAGGAAGCGACTCGCGCGCTCAGCATCCTCTCTCTCTGTCTATCCATCTCCCTCTCTTTCTCTCTCTCTCTCTCTCTCTCTCTCTCTCTTTCTATATTTCGTTTTTTCTCTTACACATACAGACACATTCTCTCTCTTTCTCTCTCTCTCTCTTTCTCTCTCTCTCTCTTTCTCTCTCTCTCTCTTTCGTATTCTCTATCCCATATACCAACGCGCACACGTATACAAAAAAATAACACACACACATACACACTCATATATACTTTATCACACACACAGAGTTCTATACTGACGCACGAAAACACTGGAAGAACGCAGTTCTTAACTCGTTCGTACGTTCGTTCGTACGTTCGTTCGTACGTTCGAACGTTCGTCGTTCATTAGTTCATCATTAGCAACATTAGCAGTTATTATCTGTCAGGATTCCAATCTCTACGTTGTTTCCATTAAATAGAGAAAATATTTGATTCGATTAAGAGAGAATATATATATATATATATATATATATATATATATAGGAATAATTTACGAAGGAACTCTATCGTATCAAGGAAATATTCGTTGATCGTGATTTTGTCAATCGTTAGAAGGTGTCATAAATCCGGTTTTCACCGCCGGGTTCTCCACGGAGGGACTTCTCCATGTCCACCGGTGGAGCAAATCCGGCGGAAATTGTCGTCCTTTTGAATCATCGTTGTTAATCATCATTATTTGATCCGTCACATTGTCATCGTTAACACGAGATGAAAGGAAAAGGATACGTGGTGTTAATATCATCGTCGTATTATAAGAAATCTATTATATCCGCGGGGTGGATCGATTTTTTACGATAAATGACGAAATCTATACACCTATTATTATTATTACTATATCTCGTTTATTTTTTGTAAAATTATACTTTAATCTAATCAAAGTATAAGAGAAGTGTATTGTTTTATTCAACAATTTTGTCCCTATTTACGATCGAAAGTTTTTATAACTTTAATCGTTAACGTTATAAGGTGGTGGTGGTAGTAGTGATGATGATGATGATGATGATGATGGTAGTGATGGTGGTGTTGGTGGTGGTGGTAGTAGTGGCGACGACGATGATATGGTAGAATATAGGTGAAGGATGTGCGTGCAGCTGTTGCTTCGTATCGTGTCGTGTTAATTTAATCGATAATTACTTTACTCGATTTTCCTTTCGATTATATTCTTGTTTGAAATTTAATGAAACTCGCGTGGAATGTTTCAAATAGTTCTTGTTGTTATTAAACTTTGAACTTTTTAATTAACGTGTTATAGAGACAACCTTTAGAGAGATAACCATCCCCCTTATTTTGGAGAAGCTATTGTTTGCGCGCACGGTTTCTATCTGTGTGTGCATCTAACGTACCTATATATATATATATATATATATATATATATATGTATATATATGTATTCTTCATCTTTGCATTACACTTATCTCCCTTATATATTTCTATCCACTTGCCTTAGAGAACCGGTGATGTTTTTAGCGTCGTGAATGAAAAGTTATACTTCGAAAGATAACAAATTAAAGCCCAAGTTTGAAGAGAAAAAAATATTCTAGAAAAAAAGGGCTTTAAAAAGAAAGAAAGAAAGAAAGGGAGAGAGAGAGAGAGAGAGAGAGAGAGAGAGAGAGAGAGAGAGGAAGAGAGAGAATAGAGAAAAGAAAAAATAAAAAGATTATTAAATTTATTCTCGAAGAATCATGATCGTTTGTTCTTTGTGATACTGAACTTTGGCTGTTAGTCGAATAGTAACGCGGTTTAAGATCGTTACGATTTGAGTTTGTCGATAAAGGGAAGAAGGGAGAGGGTGGGAAAGGAAGGTGGGAAATAGAAACGAGAAAGTTCGACAGGATATAAAAGGGCTATACTTCGCGTGATCGATCAGAACAAAAATTATTTCTCTCGTTAGTACGAGAGATTTATTTTATCCGAGTGTATATGCTCTTATGTATATTTAGAAAAAGATATCTAACGAAGAGAAGAGAAATAGGAGAAGAAGAAGAAGAAAAAGAAGAAGAAGAAGAAGAAGAAGAAGAAGAGGAGAGGAGAGAGAAAAAAGAAAGGAAATAAAAATAAAAAATAAATTAAAATAAAATATAAAAGAGAGAAAAACCAAAACAAAGATACGTGATAATCGCGAATGAAAGACGCATATATATATATATATATAATAATAATAATAATAATATTAAACAATATTAATAATAATAGTAATAATAATATTAATAATAATATTAATAATAATAATGATACCTATTTTTATACGGAGAAATTCGTTTCTATGTGTGGTATTGCACAAAATATTCTGTATACTTACTTTTAAGAGAGTTAAAAAATGAACGTTTTGCGCTATTGCTGCGAGCAGTCCTAAAAGATAAGAAGAAAGAAAAGAAAAGAAAAAAAAAAGTAAAGAAAAGAAAAGAGCCGATAAAAGGTAGAAATTTGGCTCGTTGACAAGAAAAGAAAAAAAGGCTGCACGGCGGTTTAAAAGCAAAGATACCGATGATCTTTGAGGATAAGGGAAATAATACAAAAACGAGAAGATCGGTTTGATAAAGTTTGTTAAAAAAAAAGTTAGATTCGACGAGGGAGGAAGACCTTTTGGGCGAATCGAACAGTGATAAGTATTGACGAGAGGACCGTTTTGTCTTTGAAAGGTTCTCTGCACTTAGAGTACCTTAGAGAAAATATAGAATATATACATATATAGATATATATATTATATATACATACATACGTACATACGTAATACTTACGTAGAGATACATATACGTTGCACGATTACATTAGATGATAGATCAATATAGAGTAGTGAATTTTAGACAAAAAAAAAAAAAAAATAAAATAAAATAAAATAAAAGATAGAGTGCAAAGAAGATCTGCCTTATTCGAGAAACGAATGGTCGTTTAATTGACAAACAAGAAAAATAATAAAAAGGAACAAAAAAAAAATAAAAATTCAAAATAGAAGTAATAATAATAAAAAGAGAATATATATAAAATAAAATAAAATAAAGAACACGAAACACACCTAGAACATAGAAATAAATCAACGACGATGTATCGTCGAATGATTGACGACGACTTTATAGTTAACGAGTCGGTGATGAAAAAATTGCTAAGAATCAAGGTACTTGCAAATATTCATTCGATGGACTTCGTAACATGTTCCGGGCTTACAGATTATTCGTGTTTTATTTCACGTCAACCATAGTGATCGGGGTATTGAGAACGTTAACGACGAAATTGGAACCCTTAGCGATGGCTTTCGTCCAACAAATCGTTGAGTTATACGACAAGGATCGTGAATTTTATGCTTCTTAAATATTATATATATATATCTCTCTCTATATATATATAAAGCGTATAAACGAGTGATTAGAAAAGAAGTAGAATACAAAAAGTACTTCCTTACTTTTGGTAGGAGTAAACAAACAAACAAACAAACAAACATTCGCATAAAAAAGAAAAACAAAAAAACCATCGAGCTTAAAAGAGAAAAAGTTAGTGGTTACTCACCGGTGTAGTTTTGGGTGCTGTTGGTTGGTTGGCATATTTCGCGAAGAAAAAATAAAAAAAAAAAAAAAAAAAAAAAAAAAAAAAAAAAAGCAACGGCGTTTCCTCTTACCGTCCAAAAGACAATAAAATGGAAGAGGAAGGTTGTTTCATTTCGGATGGAAGAAAAACGGGAATTGTAGTAGTAGTAGTAGTAGTAGTATTAACAGAAGTAGAGTCGTCCATTCATCGTCAGACGAGTGAAAAAGAAGAAGAAGAAGAAGAAGGAATTATTCGTGAAAAACCGCACGTTTGAGCGGCCTTCTTAAGATCCATCCACCCCAAAAAAAAAAAAAAAAAAAAAAAGAAAAAAAAAAAACAAATGTTCTCTTTCTTCGTCCAATCAAAGCATCGACAGAACTACGAATAATGGTAGAGCCGAGATGGGCAATCAAATGTATGAATAGTACCCTGGATTTGTTGAGTCTGAGCAGTAGTTATACGGATTTGAAGACGTTGTATAAGCAACAGTCGAAGAAATATTCCTGCCTATGTCGTCGCCATACCATAAGCGTGATATCGATAAACGAGTGGAAGAAATTATATTGGTTCAATTGCAAAAACGTCAGGGAAAAGATCAATTACGGTTTAGGTGAAGGATATTATCAAAAACTTCTTCGAATTATTAACGGTGCCTTGAACACTTGGGCGCAATATTATATAGACGGTTTGAGTGTTGCCCGTAGGGATATCATGTTCAAGATAAACGGCACGGCAAAGAAAAACATGAAGCTATTGAAGGAGGGATGCTACTGTCATTACCATCCGCACATTACGGCGGATGCGTGCAACGCCGACTTTCTCAAAAAAGTCGTAAGTTTCTGGGCCACAGTTAGCCCTGGAAGAATACGCGATAAACTACGCGAAAGACTAACAACAACTTACACCATTAAAAAGGTAGAGACGTGAGTCCCCTTCCCCCACCCCGCGAGATATATATATATATAGATATATATATCATTTTTTGTATTCTTTTATCTTTTCACCTTCTCTCTCTTTTTTTTTGTCATTTGATTTTTTCTCCGTGTTTATTTTCTTCCCAATTTTTCAGCATCTATATATTATAACCTACCCCTTACTAATAACCCTTCCCGTACGAAATTTCTATCTCATGCAGAAAGATACGAGCAATCTTGGAAGCATGTTTGGAAGTTCCATCCCTATCAGATATATCTCGCAACATTATCGAAATTAGGAATTCCCTGTTGTACAAGTTGTGCACGCTCGAATGATCTAGCCGTTCGTGTTATCTCGGTGCACAGGGCACATCCCTGGAGCAATGCCACGATAGATTCACCTAGATTTTATTTTACTTTTTATCTATGTCCTCCTTTATGTTAAAAACTTTGTTCCCCCTGAGCGCCCCGTAAACACCCCCTCCCCTCCGCCCCCACCCATTCGAGTATTCTTTTTATTTCTTCTTTTATCTTCTTCCTCATTTTGATTTTATCTTTTTTATTTTGTTTAAATACAATTTTTCTAAATGTTCGAAAAAAGAAAAAATGTATTGTAATCGTTAATCGTCTGCCTACCTTTCTACCAAATGTTATCACACCGTTACACAAATTACACTTATACACCGATATTTGTACGATCCGTAACTTAAATGTGTTTGGATTTTTCTTAATTTTTTTTTTTTTTTTCTTTTTCTTCTGTTTCGTTTTGATATCACCGAATGGAACAAGTTTTTTCTTTTATTTTCAGATGTCGGATGACGACAGAATGTCTCTCACTACTGCGGTCAGCGACGACGACGATGGTGAAAGTGTGATAAATTCGCCCTATCGTGGAAAACAAACTGGAACCGCTGCTGCCTCGTTCAATTGCACCGGTGCAGTTAGAAAAGCAGGGTAACAAAAATATTACATATATATATATTTATTATCCACATGTGGAACAGAGAACGCACATTATTTTTCTATTAATTTTATATATCTAAATAATTGGAAATATATCATTTAAATCGAAATATTATATATTAAACATAATAAATGAAAATTTCAACGCGTGATTTTGAAATAATAATCGTTCTAAGTTCCGTGTAGGAGAATTAAAATCTTTTAGTTCATAGAAAGGAACGATTTGAAAAAAAGCACTTATAAACTTTGTCGATCTGCAGTTTCCTCAGCGTGAAGAAATGGTTGTTACGTAAGAAGCATCAAATTGAGCTTGCAAGGAAAAGAGGCTGGAAGGGTTACTGGGTCTGTCTGAAAGGGACCACACTTCTTTTCTACCCTTGCGATTCGCAAGAAAGTAGAGCCATGGAAGCGGCACCTAAGCATTTAATTATCGTCGATGGTGCTATTATGCAGCCAATTCCGGAGCACCCCAAGAGGGACTACATATTTTGCCTGAGCACCGCTTTCGGCGATGCTTATCTTTTTCAGGTGACGAGAATAAAAGAAAGAAAAAAAAAAAAAGAGAAAAAAAAGAACAGAGAAACGAAAAAGAAAAGAAAAAAAAAAAACGTTCGTTCGTTTTTCGCGGGGCGCGTGAAATTTCTTCATTTTCTAAAATGCCTCCTTGAGAAAAAAAGTGTGTGTGTGTATGAGAGAGAGAGTGAGAGAGTGAGATAAAGGGAGAAAGGGATTAAGAAGAAGAAGAAGAAGAAAAAAAATGCGTCTTATTTAATTTGCAGGCGCCGTGTCAAGTGGAACTCGAAAATTGGGTGAATAGCATACATTCTGCTTGTGCGGCCGCGTTCGCTCGTCATCGCGGCAAGACAGGTACTTTACATCTTCTCCAAGAAGAGATCTTTCGTTTGGAAAAGGCGATAGAATCGGTAAATGTATATCATTTATATTTCGATAAGAGATTATCTAATTTTAACAAGATGACAAAAATTAATCGCGTTGAAAAAAATGTGTTCTTATATTGACGAATGTAAAAATCTCGTTTAATATAGGATCACAAGATGAAACATATGGCGGATCTTCAACAATCCGTCGTATCTGACGTCGAGACTAAACAACAAATAAACAATCAGATAATCCAATGGGAAGAAAATCTCGAACGACTTCATTGCGAACAATTTCGTTTGAGATGTTACATGGCCAGTTTGCAGAGCGGTGAATTACCTAATCCGAAGGTTGGTAATAATATCTATGTAAGGTTTTATACGTGTATTAAAGGTAAAAACAAATTATTGAGAAAATAAGGTTCGTTCAAATTTAGTTCATATTTTTTGTTTCCCTCGTTACATTACGGGGATTTATTATCTTACATGGGAAGAAACTTTAAGCAGAAAGAACATTTTGATTTAACCTGGTTCAGTAAACGCGATGCGCGTAACGATATCGACCCGTGTATACGTAAATAGAACATATAGGAACTGCAGCTGTGTAATTTCCAATAAATTAACGTCGTTGAAGTAAGAGGGCGAGGCGGCACACGATGGGCGTTAATTCCAGTTAGTCTCAAAAACAATTACTTCAATCTCTCTCTCTCTATCTCTCTCTTTCATTCTCTTTCTTATTATACATATATATTTCTCTCTCTCTCTCTCTTTCTTTCTCCCTTTTTCTCTTTATCGTTTTCTTTCATAACAGAGTCTACTAACACACGTATCTCGCGCTACGAAGCAGACTTTGAACAAATTGGGTGTCTTCACCGTGTCGTCCTTCCATGCATTCATTTGCGCACGAAGTCCCTCATTATTGAACAATTTGTTAGCCGGTCGTGGGGCTACCAAGAGAAGACCGCCACTTTTATCTAGGTCGAACAGCGGATCTAGCCGAAGGTCATTACAAATATCCTCTAGAGACGAAGAGAAGACTGTCAAAGTATCCGTGCCGGATAATCAGGTAATTCTTTTTTACCCTTCGAGTTTTATATATCTCTTAAGAAATTTTATATATATAAAAACACGATTTCCTAAGAGATATATAAGTTCCTATAAGATATATAAGTACATAATAGATGATATATGTGTTATATTTATAATCGCGAATCGTTGGATTGATCCTTGACTTTTAGCTCGTTTCGGTTTTTCTGCGCGATGCTATGACGGTAGAAGAATTTTTAGCTAGCGCTTGTAACAGGAAGAATCTCAATCCCATGGAACATTTCGTACGAGTAAAAAAACGACGCGACATGGAGGACCACAATTATTTTGTACCACATAGAACCGATTTGATCGATACTTATGTAAGTTAATTTCATTAGAAATGAATATCAAATCTACGAAGATCGATAATATCGATTTGTCAAAATAATATTAAATTTGATTAATGTGAAAATTATAGTTACACACGCACGAGATAGTCGAGGTCTGTGCTAAGATCTTGTATCAGGTGGAATTGCAAAGGAACACCTTGGAACAAATGTGGGGTTTTTCCGTGGAGGCTGAACTTATTGAAAATTCCGATAGACAGGACGAGCTTTGTTGTTACGTTAGCAGAGTCGAAGATAAAAGCGTGGCAATGCAGAACGGTAAGTTTCCATTTGGAAATTTGTTACGATTGATCAAATTTACGAATTTTTTTAAAAGTTTGTATTCGACAAATGCGATAGTATTGGAAACGACCTTAAAAAGATACATTATTATTATAATCATGCGAAAAGAGTGTATAGTGGTTGGCAACGCGTATGTATATCGATGTCATTAAGAGAAGACCGATCTGTCACGCTTTACTGCACATTTGAACAAAGTTATCGGGATACGCTTTGACATACATGCTTATAGTGCTTATTTATTCTTCATGGTCTCTCTCTCTCTCTCTCTGTTCTCTTCTCTTGGTTAAACGGTCGTTATGGTAGTAAAATGGAATGACATGTTAACGCGCGTCACGTTCGTTTCCCATCCATCATCTATCTTCGTCCTAACTCGTTAACTTTATCTTATGCATTACTCGATAACGTAATACTTTCAGGGATTATTAAGGGTGATGAGATTATGGTAATCAACGGTGCTATAGTAAGCGACTTGGATATGATGTATTTGGAGAGCGTTCTTCAAGAAGAGGTTGGTCTTTGTATGATGATGAGATCGTCTAGAACAGAACCACCAGATCTTACCGGAATTATGAGAGTCACTGATGACATCATTGAGAGTTTGGTCTGCCCACCCCCGCCCTCAGATCCGCCAGTTATAAGTGAAGAAATGATATCCGGCCTTATAGTACCTGCTCCAGGATGGAGTGAGTCTTGTTAATTTTATATCGTATCTATTCTTTTATATGTCTCTCTAGGTGTCATCGTCATGCATTGCACGATGCTTTTTCCATATTTCTCTCGAGGCCTTTCCTTCTTCACTCCGTAACGATCTCATTAGTTCAAAGTCTAATGAAGCAAAGATAATCCTTTGACCGTCAACAGAGAAAAAATAGAACTCACCCGGGGACAACTGGGCCTTGATTCGAGATCGATAAAAATAATATTTCTTCCCATAAGACTTTTTTCGTCGCGGACTATCTTTATGAATCTTTAAAATAGAATTTACACGCGCAAAAAAGAAAAAAGATAACATTATAACGCACGTCCAACGTAACATAAGACATTTTTATTTTCATGGATGTGCGACGCGTTGTGTTACTATCTTTATTATTATTATTATTATTATTATTATTCTTTTCGAGAAAACTCGATGGAAATTAAACTGATTGATAAAAATTTGTGCTTTTTTTCTGTCTCTTTCTTTCTTTTTTTTTTTTTTTATTAATATCCATTTATCGTATAAATGTATATGCTTTTTAATCTAGAAAATTTGTCTAAGAATCTATTCGAACTATTCCCAAATGATCCATTGTTTCGAATTACATTCTGCGACATATTGATTTTTCCAGGCAAGGAAAGTCTCATGCAAGAGTGTACGACTACCTCGCACATTGAGAATGGTAAGCAAACATCAAGAACGAATTCATTCGAGATAGAAAATTTATTAAAAACGGCCGAACAAGTAACGGGTATTTGCCGATCACCCGGTGAGACCAGAAAATCAAGTCCCACAGGAAGTGTCGTGAGTTCACATTCTCAAGCACTAACACCAAGTAGGCAATTGAGCGACGCCGAAAAACTAAAGAAAGTGATATTAGAATTGATCGAGACTGAACGAACTTATGTAAAGGTATTCATTACATCCAATTAATTAATACTAATTCAATTAAAGTGTTTAATTATTTCATTAAATCATTAAATCATTATATATATATAATTGAATTTAATTAATTAGGACTAAAATTAAATGAAAATGTTTAATGACTTTCTAACGGAATAATCAAATTTCGTCCAAACAGAATTTAAACAATTTGCTGGAAAATTATTTGGAACCCCTTAAACGCGAAACCTTCTTATCTAATGCCGAAATAAATGCACTATTTGGAAATATTCAGGAGATAGTCACGTTTCAACGACAGTTCCTGCAAAATCTTGATCACGCTATTGAAATGGAGGCGGATTTCAACAGTTTTGACCATCCTAGTCAATTTAAGGTAAACATTTGAGAGATGTTAGATATTTTTTGTTTTTTTTTATAATAATTTCTTTCAAATAATAATATTCAATAATATTTTTCATTAAACAGGGTGTTCTGTTTTCCATTGGAAGTGCCTTCTTATATTACGTAAATCACTTCAAGCTTTACAGCTCGTTTTGCGCAAGCCATTCGAAGGCCCAAAAAGTTTTACATCCAAGTTAGTTGATGATTATAAAAAACGAAATATATTAATAATTATTATTATTAAATTGATATCTCTCGAATAATTTTGTTCCATAGACGAAGGAAATCAAGCTTTACAAGAGTTCCTGCAAGCGAGAAATCCACGTCAACAGCATTCCTCGACATTGGAATCGTACTTGATAAAGCCAATTCAAAGAATACTCAAATATCCGTTGCTTTTGCAACAACTTAGAAATCTCACTGACGAACGAAGCGAAGAACATCAACATTTGATAGGTAATTAATATTATTTTCATTATAATATTATTGATAATTACGATAATTAATGATAAAATGATCGTCGAATTTCAGAGGCTCTCAAGGGTATGGAAAAAGTTGCTGAACACATTAACGAAATGCAAAGGATTCACGAGGAATACGGTGCTATTTTTGATCATCTATTCAGACAACATCAAAAATCTTGCAAACAGGTAATTAAAATTATAATTTTATTCCTCGTAATATTGGAATATATGTGTTAAAAATTTTTGTTTGTTTTTCCTTTTAGCCAATCGATTTGAGTCCCGGAGATCTTTTGTATTACGGCGGCGTCGAGTGGTTAAATATTTCAGACTTTCTTGGTAAGATAAAGAAAGGTTTGGAATTGCACGCCATGTGTTTCGTTTTCAAATCCGCCGTAGTGTTCCTCTGTAAGGAGAGATTAAGACAAAAGAAAAAGCTCATGGTAATATTCGATAATATTAAATTGTTATCATATATTTTCATATAAGAATGAGATATTTAATATAAATTAATTGTATTATTTTAAAAGGGAGTTTCAACGAAAGCGAATTCCAGTGAGGTAGAAATAATTCGTTATCAAGTTTTGATTCCCGTTACCGAGGTTCAAGTTAGAGCCAGTTCAGCCAAAGATATGGAATCGCATTTCTTATGGGAGTTGATACATCTTAGAAGTCAATTACAGAGAAGATCGGAAAAAGTTTACGTACTTTCTAACAGGTATTTTTTATAATTACAATCTAATATATATATATTAAATAATCTTTAATATAATATGTTATAATATTACTTCATTTTTTTGTCCATATGAAAATATTTGATTTATTCTTTTCAGTACGACGGAATTTAGAAATGCATTCTTAAAAACTATTCGACAAATCATACGAGAATCGGTTAGAAATATGAGTATTCCTTCAACGAAACAAAACATAAATCAACCACCGATGACTATAGCACCTAGGATGTCCACTAGTCACGTAGAAAAATTTGAGAAACAAGCGACTCAGATCCAAAGTCAAAATGGTAATGGTACCACGGTGGTAGCTACGGGAACTTTGTCAAAAAAAGCTATAAAGCAACAATTGTTAAGTAATTCGCATAATGCCAAACGAAAGTATAGCCATTCGAAACAATCTGTGGAACATGAAAGTTCGGAGGACAAGGATATGGAAGAACCAGCTATAAGCCAACAACAGATAACATTTCGTACGAGAAGTAAAACTATAAGCGACACTTCGGGTAAATTTTCAATTCCTTAAATTAAAATTCCTTAGAGAAACTTTGTTTTCATATAAAAAGTGTATAAGAAATAATGAATTTCTTAAAAACCCATTTGAATATCTTCAATCATTCTGAAGAATTCGATTATTATTATTATTATTCTTATTACCATCATCATCATCATCATCATTATTACTATTATTATTAAATTAAATGTAGGCGAAGTAAAAGTTGAAATGGATTCAGGGACTAAATCGGAAGGAGAGGAAGACTCTCAAGCTTTTTTAGGCGAGAAGAAGACTAATCTGGGCCGTACACCTAATCATTTGACATTGAGCACTACTTCTACCATTTCCGCCGGAAGTACTGGCAGCCAAGCCAGGCTCATTCAGTCTTCTCATCAGCCAGAAAATTATCAACCAATTACAGTTAAAGAGCTTGGTAAGATGTTTCGCTATTATTTTTCTTATCTTATTTCCCCCCCCCCCGGATACAAAGATACATTAATCTAAATTGTTATGATATGTATTATATTTTTTAAAAATTACAAAAATCTTCAAATTATATCTTTAGGTTCGCCAATTTGGAAACCCCGAGAATTGCCATCGCTAGGCGAGGCTACGACGTTACCAAGAAAGGGTAAGTCGGCAGGCGAGTTCACGGACATGACCTCGAGCCACAGCGCCTCAAGGAAATCTCTAATTGAGATAAGCAATTGTGCTCAACAATCTAATTTTAATAATCGGGGGATTGAATAAACGTTTAAATATCAAAAAGAAAAGAAAAAAAAATCAAGATGAAATCCGTTTAAGTTCGAATTATGTTCGAACGAACGATGATGACTCTACTACTTATTGCATAAGGTCAGACGATGATCGAGTGAAAAAAGAAAGAGAGAGAGAGAGAGAGAAGGAAAGAGTTGGCAAGAAAAAGTGAAAGATTAATAAGTAAGAAAAAGATTAGAAAGAACACACATATGTGTTTTAACGTTATCACCATGGTTAATTAACGCGTGATTTAATTATACAAATCTTGCTAAGCCGCCCACGCGGTATACGCATAAACGATTATTCAAACAAAATGAAGACAACATCCGCTACTACTCCTCCTCCTCCTCTTCCTCCTACTCCTCTTCCTACGATTTAATACTACACTACTCCTCGTTCTCATTTTGTCTTCCAAGTATTAAAAACAACGTTATGTCGTCGGCCGTTTTCGTTAATATACCCAAAAAAGAAAGAAAGAAAGAAAAACAAAAAAAAAAAAAAAGAAATATTTACAATTGTTACGAATCATACTTTACCATAAAATATCACCGATGTTATTATTATTATTATTCTTACGTTTAAATTCAATCCTTTCTTTTTTTTTTTTTTTTTCAATTACTTTACGTTAAACAATTTCTAATCTCTCTCGGATCGTTCATAGATCATTTTATCGTCGAAGTTGCGATCCGGTTAATCTTTTATTATGGTGGTTTGGGGCTTTTAATTGAACCGTGCCCGGTACGGTACGGTGTATCATTTTGCCGCTCGAAATGCATCGTTAAACGTTAACGTTAATAATTAATAAACAACAACAAAAAAAAAAAAAACACACAGAAAGGTTAATTAACTTGCACTTACTTAGAGCGTGTAAAGGGAGAAAAGGGAGAAGCGGAATATTATTATTGTTTTTAATTTATAAACCGTGCGATTAATTAATTCATTATTGGAGCGCGCATAAAAGGGATTATCGCGCATCAAATAAAAGATGATTATATTTGTGTCGTCCCTTTTTTTTTTTTTTTTTTTCGTTTCCGCACCTACTACGTTCCTACATAAAAAAGAAGAATAAGAATAAGAAGAAGAAGAAGAAGATGGGAAAAAAGAAAATAATATAAAATAAATAACGCATACGTAAATAATACTACCACCCAGCGAAAATTATGGGGAGTAAGGGGTGGGGGTGGGGGTGGGGGGGGGTACGTATACGTATATTCTTTTTTTCAATTGCCGTTTAAACGGGAAAGAAAAAAAGAGAGAGAGAGAGAGAGAAAAAAAATGACGCGATAAGCAACGAGAACAAAAAAAAGAAAAAGAGGTGACCATAAAAAAGAAAAAAAATTAATAACAACATCCTTACATCACTTTTACGAGCGTTTTTCCGCGTGGACGGCAAAGCGCAGAGAGTGTCAGCCGATTGACCCTATGTATATATATATATTGTAATGATGATGATGATGATGATGATGATAATGATAATGATGATGATGATGATGATGTCGTTACGATTACTATTTAATTATTATTATCGTCATTATATATATATATATATAAATATATGTATAATATATTGTCATTATTCTTAATATTCTTATCATCATCGTCGCAATCATTGTTATATTAAATATAATTATTATTAATATT